GCTAGTGAATTATTAACTATAATGTTATATATTTCCGAATTAAGTAATTCAGCCACTTGAAACGCAAATGAGTTTCTAAACTTGACAGTATTATGCTGCGGTATATTACATCTGATAACAAATTTCAAATTCCGGTCATGCAAGTCCTGTCTCGCCACTATGTATTGCCAAAGGCTCGTTGGGAAGTTAGATTTGAAAACTCTTTAAACTAGTGTGCCAAAAAATAGAGCCACTCATTCTTCATATCTAAGTAAGTCATTTTCTCGATAGACAAGTGAAATGTGATCAAATGTATACACACAGAAAATATATCGAATGCATGCATTTTGCGCTAATTGGATCTTGATCAAAAACAACTTCCAGGTTTCTGGCTGACACAGGGCAACAACGATCCGTCAACATGCAGGCAGTTAAAATAAAAATGTTCAAAACGACTTTTACTTAAACGTGAACCAATCAAAAGTAACTACATGACTTTTCTCTACTGACAATCCTCCCTGGGTATAAAGCAGTATAGAAGGTGGGTGGCGTCAGTGTAGAGATGAATGGAGCAATGCTGAACTTGTTTAGGAAGATCGCTGGTACCTATAGAATGTAAAAAGTAACGGGCCAAGAATGCTCTCCGGGGGTACTCCATGCTTCATTATTGCTGATTCTGATCTTGCATCATACTTATAACTATTTTTGTGTTCTTCACCAAATATATCATAGGTTTGGGAATTTGAGGGATTTCTGTCAATAATAGATAGGTATTCTATAAAGTATTTTGTAAGAAATTTTGAAGGCCTGTATTGGATTGGTTTAGAGCATCTGGTTAGTTAGTTATGTATAGCAAGTGAGACTTATCAACGTCATCAACTTTTTCCATTTCCAGCTAGCCCTCTCCACAGTTTTTACCCTCTTAATGTATTTTATCAGTATTTTTCCAAAACTTTTTCATTCTTCTCTTCCACCATGAGAGGATTTTCCTAGAATTTTCTCCTAGAGGTCCTGGTATGCCTTCTGTTATTTTTCATTTCTGCAAATTAACGCAACCAAAATAATAACGATTTTGCAAATATGTAGTATGTAGGTACCTACTTGAAATTTGCAAAATCGCGCATCTTTTTCCTAATTTAACTCATCCAATATCTGAAATGTATAGGTACCTACTAATATTTACAGCAATAAATACTTCGACTCTGAGTTTAACATGTACCTTTTTGACATGTCACTCGAATCTTCTCAAGCAATATTTTCACCAACGTGGTGCTGCTACAAAAGTTTTCAAAGAAGTTGGTCTTTTTACAATTTTGGGGTTGAATGTCTTCCCTTCATCTCCGTGCTAGAAATGTGCATTTTCATTGTGTCACGTAGATCAAGTCAAGTGATATTCCTACCAAGTTTGGTGGTGCTACAATAGTATATTACATGCGCAGGGTGGAAAGTGTTTCATTATTACGAAGATATACTATGGTTGACCGAGGAGCGAAGCGCCGAGGTCAATCAATTCTCGAGACAATATGTGAAAACTTTTCACCGAAAGATGTATAGGTAATATTTTATTTTGAACCATTGCTTATTGAAAAAAAAAAATAAGGTAAATATATGACAGAAATGGAATTTCGACTGACACTCTGACACCGACATTGACATCTTATGAAATTTCAACAATTTAAACACATTTGACATCTACTTCTAAATAGGTACCTACAAACTTTGCACCTGGATTTGTGTTTAGGTGTGAAAGAAAAATTGAAGCTTTGCTTTAGAGTAAGCAAAAGTAAAGTGACATTTTCGAACCTTCAAACCAGTAAGAAATGGGGAAATTACATATATGGTTTAATAAAATATTTGATATCTGATTTCATTTTCAGTTTTTGGGCGTAATTTATCCGCTTCAACCAGTTCAACGTCGCCCTGAAAGTGATTTTTCTGTCTGTAACGTAGATCACTCCTGATGTTACAGAATATCTTTTTAAATTTCTTAAAACATACCGGGTGGGGCACGAAAAACTTTCCACCCAGGTTTTCTCAGGTGTTAGGTGTTTAATCAAAAATCGCTCAGACACGTCAATTTTTGTTTTTTGGGGGACACATTTTATTGGTATTTTCACCCTCTACCTGTGAACCCCTAAGTGGGGGTAAAAGGTACCCCCAAAATTTCAAATGGAAAGAGGGGTCGAGTGATATGTCATTTGGTAGCTATTTTCATTGAGATTATATCCCCGAAGTTGCTACTATTAACCCTGCCGAAATGGCGGCATGTCAAAGTTAGGATAAATGCTTTTTTTCGATAATCTAAGCTGTATAGTTTTTACCTGTCACACCTATGCGTAGGTAACAAGTAAAAACCACACAGCATTTTTCCATTGATTTTTCCTAACTTTGACAAGCTGCCACTTCGACAGGGTAAATAGTAGCAACTTGAAACTTCGGGGATATAATCTTAATGAAAATAGCTATCAAATGACGTATCACTCGACCCCCCTTTTCATTTGAAATTTTGGGGGTACCTGTTACCCCTACTTAGGGGTTCACAGGTAGGGGGTGAAAATACCAATAAAATGTGTCCCCCAAAAAACAAAAATTGACGTGTCTGAGCGATTTTTGATTAAACACCTAACACCTGAGAAAACCTGGGTGGAAAGTTTTTCGTGCCCCACCCGGTATGATGTTCATCTCTGAATCTGTTTTACTTACTTCAACCACTTTCCGACTCAAGGTTTGCGAGAAAATCGATTTTGAAATTTTAGGAAATTTTTCAAAGAAATTTCATATTTGATGATTTTGATATCTCGGAAACGTTTTTTTGCCTTTCTATCCGATAGTATAGAGATTCTAATATGAATTGGGAAGGGAGTGTTAATATTTTATATTTTTTGAAAAAATCTTGGCAATGGGCTCTATTCTTTAAATTTAGAGAATATCGAATACATACCTCTTTTTGGTAATAATTTAAAGATACGCTTGAATTGAGTCGCACAGCCTGTACCCCAGATTCGAAGGGCGTACGGAACATGTGATTCGAAAAGGGGCAGAGTAGACGATTCTAGAAGTTGACAAGTTGAGTTCCTTGGAAACTGATCTTATTGCAAAACGAGCGGAACTTAATTTTTTCGATAAAGAATCAACGTGCGAGCTCCATTTCAGGCAGATGTTTTCAAGACCAAAAAATCTGTTGGTTAAAAATCCAAATTGGTTAATAGTTATTATGTTATATTCATGCAGAAATGATAGAAGCCTTTTTTTAACCAATCTTTCAATAATTTTGGATAAAGTGTGCCTCTTGTGCAGAGGAATAGCCGTCTTGAATCAATCTGGGAACACTCCTTGTTGAAAAGATTTATTTATTAAAGCAGTGAGGAGATTCAATATACATTCCGGTAAATTGAAAAACATTTTTCAAGGAGTGCATCAGTCCCAGATGACAATTTGTTTTTGATGTATTTAATTGTACTGCAAAGCTCTGGTGTTTCTACGGGTGTTAGGAAGAAGCTGTGTAAATTCATACTGGTATTAGAAAGATATGAAAGCGTATCGCGAGAAGAAACTATAGTAGTTATCAAAATTTTTGTCACATTTACAAAATAATCGTTCATATTCTCAGGGAAGGTAGAGGTAATGGTATTACGGTACGAGGCTGGCTTATTTCTCAAATCGTTGACAATAGACCATGTTTCTTTGGTTTGGCAATAGAAATTCTCGGTTCTAAGCGAACCGGCTGTTACAATAGGTGTCTTTGGCAGCTATTATAGTTTTATGATAAATTTTTCTATAGAGCTTAACGTCATTTTGAGGGGCGAGATTGTACGAAATTTTGTTTAGCTGTGACAATAAGCGCAGGTTCTTTACCGATGTGTTCAAGCCTTTAGTAGTCCATGTTTTATGTTGTTCATTTTTCACAGTCCTAAGGGGAAATGTTTTGAAAGCCAGACCAGATAATTTATTTGCAAATGTAGAAAATGCACTATCGATGTCATCAGAGAGGCAATCCCAGCGAATTGTTTGACATAAGTGCTCCGAATAAATTCAGCGTAACTTTCAGGGCATTCCTGCTATTGGTCTTTAGAGAAAAGTTTGTGTGTACTGCTTGTTTGCATGTTTGGCTTGCTGGGAGAAGAGGATGTTGCATACAGCTATTAATGTTTCCGTCAAGCATGGCTTGCTATCTACCTTATTTAAAAAAATTGCGTGACGACCTCTTATCATAAGATCAAAGATGACTAGTGTATTTTGTAGGAAATTTTATTAACTTCAAATCTGTAAAGAACGCTCATCTTCAAAAAACAAATAGTTTTTGAGATATAAGCGAAAAACTGAAAAAGTTCTGAAAAGTTCAGATTTTTTGCGTTTTTGGCTAATAAAGCGACAACTTACGCCCGGCAGACGGACGGTTTTGAAATGACTATGTGAGGTAGTACCGACATGTCAATTCAAACCTTTGGTACCTAACTATGAGGTAGTTGTTTTTACTGCCAGCTCTCGAACAGTAAATTTTCAACTGTCAATATTTCCGAAACAGTTGAAGATAAGTATAGGACATTACACAGAAAATATTTCCATAATTTTTCATAGAATCCAAAAATGCAATAATATACAGGGTTGCCACTTAAAATAACAAAGTTGATGCAAGTAACGCCATTGTTGGGACACCCTGTATATTTTTTTTTTAACTCCATAACATGCGCAGCTTAAAAATAAAATTGACGGGTCCGAGCGATTAAAAAAAAAAAGATAGTTTTTAAACCCCTGTAGGTGTTCCAATCTTTTTGCCCAAGCTGTATGGTAGTTTTTTAAGGTGTCCCAGTTCCGGCTCAGTTTATATGCGCTGCTAGTTCTGATTTCTGGGTATATTTAATTTACTCCTGCTTGATTAAAAAAGAAAGTTGTTGTTAGTTGGGCGGATACGTCGTGTGCACGTCGAGAAGCTGTGCCTTCAAATAATGAACTCTTGTGCATAAAAACCCCGTTCTCTTGCTTCCTGAGATTTTTAAAATTGCTATATCATCCTCCATTGAAATTGAAATACATAAATAGTTAAATAACCTGAATTAAAGAAATGCAAATAGGTAAGTTTATTAATATATATATAGGCACAAAATATTATGTAATAATTGAAAAAAAAAGATAAGTTAGATTTAGTTAGATTTGAAGACATTTTAAAACACTTGAATTCTATGATTTTCCCGATCACACACCAGAATGTGACCATCAGGTGTCATCGCTACTCCTTCCAGGCCTTTGAATTCTCCCTTTTGTGAACCCCAGCAACCAAGCGCTCTCAAAAAAGTACCATCTGAATGGAAAATCTGGATTCGGTTGTTTCCTGAGTCTGCTACGCATATATACCCCTGGTCATCGACAGCTACGCCTCTCGGGAATTTGAACTCTCCTTCCTCGGACCCTTCAGTACCAAAAGATGTAAGCACTTTACCATTCACGTCGAATACTTGAATTCGGTGATTGTTGGAGTCTGATACGATAACTCGATTTGTGTTGGAGACTGCGATGTAGTGTGGGTGTTCCAGTTGACCCTCTTTGCTACCCATTGAACCAAATTTGCCCACGAAGGTTCCGTCTGATTGAAAGACCTGCAAAAAAAAACAGACATGACTAGTGAAGCAATGATAAATAAGTAGACAGAATACCAGAAAATTAGCCTTCAACTTTTTAATCACCTACCTTCCCTATGCATATAAAAAATGTAAAAATCATTTCCCGTCGCTATCGAAGTTAAATAATTTTATCTTAAGACAAATTGAACTTTATTGTTGTCAAAATGTGACAAAGAATTCATTGACTAGGTATAACCTGAAGTGCCATAAAAATTATTAGGTTCATGTATTGTTGTTTGTGTTTTTTTTTTCTTCTGAGGGCTCAGCACAAAAAACCCACTACTTGGTCTATGACAAAAATAACTGTTGTTTCTCCTCGTTTTGTCGATATGGTGACCAACTTCATTTTTTTGTATGAGAACCCGTTTTTCTTTTGTTAAAATCTTTATAGACGAATAATATTCGGATATGGTTCAACAAAGAATTTTAAGTAAAAAATGCCTTTCTAGTTAATTTGAAACATGTTAAAATTAAGCTTTTTTTATAAAGTAGTAAACAACTTACCTGTATTCTATGGTTTTCTTTGTCACATACGTAGATGAATCCTAACGCGTCAGTTGCAAGGCCCCACGGGTAGTTAAATCTTCCGTCTGCGGTACCTTGACTTCCAAATGACCGTAGAAATCTACCAGATGGATCGAATACCTAAAAAATAAATATTTTTTGTAATTTCTGGATCCTTCGCGAACGGATAGGAAAGCACAAAAGTCAGGACCTCTACTGGTGGGATAAAGAGACTGAACAGCATTCAAGAAAAAAGAGATACAATATATTTTGGAATAAGTCGAAAACAAACGCGTATGCAAGGGTGCTTGGTGCTGTACTTTTAACAGAGAGAAGAACAATATTTCACAGGAAAAATCAGTCTTGGAAATAGGAATGTGAAAGAGTTTATTCGGCCTACAGAAGAACAGCTAATATTCTAAGCTACTAACAGAAGAAGAACCTCTGTACTTTGTGAAGCTTTATATTGTTACGAAATTAAATCGACAACTCGGCCAGAATTTTAGGAACCCAGTTGTTGACATCTAGAACGCGTCTTTTCTGGATTCTGAGAATTTTATGGTATTCGAGAAAAGAAGACTTCTAGTAAAATCCGGAGTACGATATCGTCCATAAATAGCGTAGTAATTTGGAAACCAGTTTAAATACCTACGAGATTTGTTGTGTACGTCTCGATAAGTGATAAGTAAATTTTTATAAAGTCAATAATTGTGTTCAATGAAAGTTGTTAATGTTTCTGAAGTGAGTTTTAGTGGTCCCGGAAACCGTGACAATACGATAAAAACTGACAGGGTATCTGGACCAGAAAACAATCTAGCGAAATTGATAAGTTACGGCTTGAAGAAACTTCATGATAGCCTAGCACTGACTTTTCAGAAATACATAATTGGCTGAGAGATCCTGAAGAATGGAAAACTTCTCACCGACCATTCATAAAAAAATTTGGAGAAACTTTGGTGGCACCGCAGTGACCAGCACAGTTAATATCATATCTGAAAACATGCTGAAGGAAAGATTCAGAGTATGCATGACGGCAGACACCAGCACACTTGGCAGGATAGGAAAACGGTAAAAAAAAGTTTCAGCGGCATGGAAGCGGGAGAACAAACCGGTTCCAGAGAAAGCAAATCATCTGTGAACCATCTTTTCCATATAAGATTAAGAAAAGATCACTTTCGGCCAGAAAATAAATCTTGCGTACATGAAAAGAGTGTATCCCAAAAAAAATATGACAGGCGATAACGCGAACATAAAGTCAGAGAGATTCACAAACCAGATGGAAAGAGAAATTTAAGCAAACCAAGGAAACATATTACGAATGTTCAGAAGAGATAAAGTAAAAAACATAAAAGTGGTACATGAAATAACCAAAGAAGTACAAATACGCCAAGAATGAGACAAGGCCATCCACTTACGCCGTTTATACTGTAACGAAATTGCATCGAAAATCCGGTGCCGGGATTCCAAGAAATTAGGTATCTACTTGTTTACGTCGGGCAGCGCGCCGTTTCTTGGAATTCTATTTTATATATATTCGATGTTATTCTAGCTAAATCCCGAGTGAGATTACGACTATATAAATAGATCGAATAATGATAGAGTGAATTTTATAAAGCCAATTAGTTTAGTAAAAGTTGTAACTGTTTGTGAAGTGAGTTTTAGTGAACCCGGAATCCGTGCAAACATGCACATGGACGAAATAGTTGAAAAGCTACCTGAAATAGCATGCTACACAGTATAGGAAGCACATCAATCCTTTTTGGTGACTCAGAAGACAACCTATATGGTCTACTTTCTTTAATCAAATTAGCGAAACAATAAAATCATTTAGACCAAAATATCTATAGTAACATCTAAAGTCAAGATGCTAATTGGAGTTTCATGAATTATTGCCGTGCAAGGTGCAAGTATGTCACTTTGAATCTAAAAGCTTAAATAACAAACTCAAATCTACAGAGAGAAGTTAGGAAAACAAACCATGAAGGCATCTCGAATCTGAGGATACTCAAGAGACTTCGTATGGAGGAAAAAATACTTCAACACGTACAGTAAAACAGGGATTCATAAGACAACAATAAGACCCAGCATGACGTACGCTGAACAAGACTAGACACTTGATGATGCGAACGTTGGGAATAAAAATAATAACAAGCATTCACTAAAAAACATTAAACGACAGAATTAGAAGCGAGGACATTCGACAAAAGAATACATAGTAAGATGGGTAAGACAACGGAGAAAATATTCGAATGGACGACGAGAGACTTGTAGAAACGCGAAATTGAAGATTCCCATCGAAAATACAAGGGTAGAAGTGGTGGAACACAGGAACGCTTACGGTCCACCATAAATAAAAAACAAAGAAGAAGAGGATGATATAAGGGAGGACATTAGTATGAAACAATTAGGGTAGTACGGCCAGGTACATCGACTTTTGAAAAACTTGCTCCCCTAAGTGCAGGAGAAATGGGGCATGACCTCGAAAATGCAGGAGAAAATAAATGTATAGACATTCAGAAGCTGCTAGGAGACAATCTGTAGAAGAACAGGGAAGATAAGTATGGAAATTGAAAATAGAAAATTGGGAAACCCGAAACCCTATGAGCAGAACTTTGACAATAATGTTTGCATATAACCTGGAATTTAATAGATCCTATATAGCAAAAATATTGTATTGTTGAGAGCCGGCAACACTTTAGTCTAAGCTGTCGGCGCCAATAGTCTAGAATTGTTAAAGTTTGTTTGAGTAAAACGTCCTGTTCAAAGTTTATGAAACAAGTTAACAAGTCGAATCCAAATCGCAGTGTGTATCAAATGACATAGGTACATCTTGGTTATTCTTCAAAACATTTTTTTTTCGCGAAATTTGTCCATTTTCCTTTATTTGCGAATACCTCAAGCTGATTCTAGATTAATATTCTCACCTGAATCCTATGATTATATCGGTCAGCAATAATGTATTGACCAATTCTGTTGACGGCTACGCCTGCTAGACAATCAAATTCTCCTTCTCCACTACCATACTGTCCGAATTCTTTTAGAAAACGGCCACGTGAGTCAAATACCTGAAATATTGTTAATACAGTATGGCTATAGGGAACTAAGAAATGCCTATAGAATATATTTGTTCAAATATTAATCCTGATTATTAAAAAAAAATCTATTTATTTCAATGAGCCCATAAAATAAGGCTTTAAATAGGAGAAAATGGAGTTTTATGTCCAGCTTTATTCAGAAAATAAAAAAAAAAATATTATCGCTAAAGGGCCCCATACACTACGATGAAACACGACGGTTTTCATCGCCACGATGAAACACGTTGTTCTAAAACCGAAGTGTTTAATAGAAAAACATGACGGTTTTCTACAGGGCCTCACAGACTACGATGAAACACGACGGTTTTCATCGCCACGATGAAACACGTCGTTCCAAAACCGAAGTGTGTGGTAGAAAACCGTTCGTGTGTACGAAATGTTGAACCGTCGTGCCAAAAATCAAGCTCGGACTGAATCTTAAACCGACGATGAAACACGACGGTTTTCTAAAGGGCCACATACACTACGTTGAAACACGACGGTTTTCACCGCCACGATGAAACACGTCGTTCCAAAACCGAAGTGTGTGGTAGAAAACCGTTCGTGTGTACGAAATGTTGAACCGTCGTGCCAAAAATCAAGCTCGGACTGAATTTTAAACCGACGATGAAACACGACGGTTTTCTACAGGGCCCCATACACTACGATGAAACACAACGGTTTTCACCGCCACGATGAAACACGTCGTTCTAAAATCGAAGTGTGTAATAAAAAAACACAACGGTTTTCTACAGGGCCCCATACACTACGATGAAACACGACGGTTTTCACCGCCACGATGAAACACGTCGTTCCAAAACCGAAGTGTGAGGTAGAAAACCGTTCGTGTGTACGAAATGTTGAACCGTCGTGCCAAAAATCAAGCTCGGACTGAATTTTAAACCGACGATGAAACACGACAGTTTTCTACCACACACTTCGGTTTTGGAACGACGTGTTTCATCGTGGCGATGAAAACCGTCGTGTTTCATCGTAGTCTGTGGGGCCCTGTAGAAAACCGTCGTGTTTTCCTATTACACACTCTGGTTTTAGAACGACGTGTTTCATCGTGGCGATGAAAACCGTCGTGTTTCATCGTAGTGTATGATGCCCTTAACCTTCTAGCTATTTTTTCCATATTTTTTTTAAGAAAAAAGTAATATACATTTTTTATGTGTTTTGTTGATCAAATCGGTTCGGATGCATCAAAAAGCAGGATTATTTATATTTATAATTATTTTAAACACAAACGTTAACCAAAGTATGAAAAATAGCTGCTTCTACTCCTTCCCTGAGGAGTTGGAACCCATTCCTATCACGAACTGAGTTCGTTCCTACTATTTAATTCATATTTTTCTGATATGGTTCGTTTCAAAAAACCGTCAAAAAGAGTTATTTGTAGGTACCTACTTACATATGTCATAAACTACAATTTTGAAACTAAATCGATTCTTATAGATAGGTGCCTATGGAATTTACCTGCACGCGATGATTGGAAGAATCAGCTACAATAATGGAGTTATCAGGCCCGACTGCTACGCCGCGTGGCCATGTGAAGCATCCGGCTTCGCTCCCCCGGCTACCAATTTGGAACAGCTGTTGGCATTTCTGCAAGTACTTGCTTCTAGGGGAAGTACCTGCTGCTGCTGCCGCGATATCTAGGAATTAGGCAATAGAACGATGACAACACTTTGCAGTTGAACATTAAACCTATAAGGTTAGTTTGGGTTAGTGCTGAGTTCAAAGGGGTAAAAACATGACATGCAAATTTAGTAAAAGTAGGTGCGAATTACCTAATCATATCAGTAAATGTCAAATCTTCTTTGATTTTCTAGTCATTCCTTGAGACTTTCGACAGGATTAAATGACTTTGCAACAAGAGAAAAGGGACATATGTCATTCATCAAGTATTTCCGCGAAGGTAAGTACTGTTCTCTGTTAAAAAGCAATTTTGGCATCGCAACTAATGAGAAAAAATTGATATAGTGCTTCAACAACTCTATTTAGGGATGTATGGCCGGTTAGTTAGGCAGGCACGTGATTATCGCAATCACGGGCATTCGAGTTTATTTATTGAAAATATGTTAGCATTTGTAAACCATACACCGGAATCCGTATAATATGTTTAGCTGATATCACAATCTCGAGCAATTTTAACTATTAGTAAATCTTGACTAATCTGGTGTTCCTGGCGTAACCAAATTTCAAGGACTTATTATAACACCCGACAGTAGGTATACCCTACGAAATTACATTGGTGCGGAAAAGCCGAGGACAGTGTACATGACCGGTGCAAGAATATTCAGCAATTTACTGGAAAAGAATCCAATGAAGTTTTCAGTTTTTTCTCTTTGGTTTCGATTTTGAGATATTGATAAAAGTCTGATTTATTAATCTGGGTCTCCGAGCAGATTAAAAGTGATCAAAGGATATTAAGAAAGTAGTGCTATGACCGTTCAAGCAAGGCGGCTGGCAACAAGAGGCGTTAGTGTACCTATCCTAGGTGGACAGGAAAGTATCCTAGAGGGCATTCATAGAGATGATAAACATTTGGATAGTTGGAATGATGAAGATTAGATATACTTTATGTTTAAATATAGTATAATAATATATAACCTTGGTTAGGTATACTTATTATTTTCAAAACCCCATGAAATATAACATATGAAATTCATCCAGAAAAAAAAAAACAAGCACATGCCATGCATCAGGCTGTCCACTAAAACTTTGGGTTGCTGAAATTTTCTAATTGAATTTTGGAGATACAATAAGTCCTTTAAGATTTTTTTTTTTATAATTTCTTGTATTCAATTATTATAGAGAGTTTATTATTCTTTGGAATGATGTATTCATTAAAAAGAAATATGTTTTTTTCAGGTCATATTTTTTTAAAAATTTTTAGAGAAATAAATACCGATAAATTATATCAGTAACCTACTAATAAAAATAATTCCTTAGTTTTGCTTCTGGTTGAATGTTTTTGAGTTAACGACTTAGTATCTCAACGAATAGCTTATAACTCGCAGTCAGCGCATAAGCAAAATCAGCCGATATAGTTACCGAGAATGCTCCGATAAATAGATCATTTCAGGCAAATTCTACTCACCCAATGTTTTAGCACATTTGCTCGAAAACATAAAATGGTAATGGTTATAGTTTCACGTTAAGTATTGTAATCGAACCTCCCCGGTACGGCGATGTCAAAGTCAAAAAGTATTCTTAACAACTTACCGGCTGCCGCTGCCGTAGCCGCTGTAGGGGTAGTGGGGGAGCCTTGCATGTTTTTTTGACCGTCGTCGTCAGAGCTAGCTAAATCAGTAGAAGATCTTAGGGGAAGGCCCAAAGAGAGCCTTCTCGCCGCAGAAGACGAACTGGCGGATGCTTGAGAATTGCCGCCACTAGCAGTCGAGTCTTTATCTTTGGCTCCGCTTCTGTTGCCGTATTTATTCTTTAAATACCGGGCCCAGGAACTTAATGCGGCTCCGTCTTTTTCTATCGCCGACGCAGATGACCTTTCAGGAGAATTATCTCTGGATTTAAGAGCGTGCGTAGAACGGCTGCGGGCTAGATCATGTGCAGAGGCTGAGGTACCATAACCTCGCGATGCTAAGTAGGCTGTGGGGTTTGAAGTGGTGGGAGAAATTGGAGTGGTGACTCCTGCATCCTCAGTCTCATCTTCCCCATCTCCGAATTGCTGGCTACTACGACTACGCGCAAGTCGCTGTCGACGATCCTTTAGGGCCATATATCTAGATCGACCAGTAGCAGGATATTTACTTCCTTCATCATTTGTCGGTGTGGTGTATCTTGAAGTATAGTCATCGTCATCTTGCGCTATGGCGGCAGAACTTTTACTTTTATTTAAAAAACGACTTGTATAACCGTATCGGGGAGGTTCTTCTTCGGAGGTAATAGTTGTTCGCCTTTTGCTTCCATATCTGGTCGAAGGTTCTTCTGACGTAGAATAATTCGATCTATTTATTGGAGATTCTTCTTTTTTGCGTAAGTGATCAGAGCTAGAAGAATCCCGAGCATGAGCGCTGCGAGCTAGTAGTGGGCCAATATCAGTTTTTGCCATTTTTTCATCCGATTTCTTACTTGACGGCTCATCGGATTCTTCTTCAGTTTCCGTTTCTTCTTCTGAACTCGTTTCTGACTCTTCTTCGTCTTTTTTACTTTGTGGTGGTGGCGGCACAGTGGCTGGTTTGTTTAGAAACCTGCTTTGAAAAGGTTTTGTTAACTGTGCTACTGGTTCTTTATTCGCTCCAGTAGATGCAGTTCTGCTGCGTGTCTCTGTTGGAGCTTCACTTCTCGATAAATATTTTTGTTTCACTTCCTCAGTCGTAAATGGGGCACCCGTACTACGAACTGCTGAAGACGAAGAAGACTCTGCAGACGAGCTAGAATCGCTGCTAGCAGATCTTGCGGATTTCTTGTGAGCGCTCTCTGATGATCTCCTAGTAGTTGGTTGCGGCACCGTTTTTGGTGGAACATTTTGTCTTTGTTGATGCTGATGAGCGCTCACTGATGATTCTTCAGAGTCTTCTGCGCTGGATTGAGCCTATAGAAAACATTGTGTTAGGACGAGTCGCTTGCACACATCTTCATGCTTCACACGAACCAAACAATACAAAAGAGGAATGGGTACACTTCAAAGTGTTTTTTAAAAGAAAGTGAAATATAGAGAGAAGAAACATGCCAATGTGTGATCTATATATTGCAGTGTTAATTTTGTGTACCACTAGGAACGGTAAGCAACACTAAACGTTCTAAATATTCTTATTCTAATAAATTATTCTAAAACAATTGATTCAATCAGGTACATAACACGAGGTTACGGCTCATCCAAACTCACCTCGGGGGCGGGTGTCTTCCTTTGTTGAACTGGATGTCTTTCTTCAACTGTAGGCCTTGTAGTTTCAGTGACAGGTTCAGTAGACGTAGTAGCCCCTTTATTTTGCTTTTTAATTTTAGCAATTTCGTCGTCTTCACTCACTTGGCGAGTAGCCGGGGGTGGTTGCCTTTTAGGTACTACTTGTGGTTGTTTCGGTGGAGCAGGTGGAGCTTCCTTCTCCTTTTTTTTTCCTGTTGGATTTTCTTGTAACTTTTTCATTACTCTAGGAGAGTCTGCTAGCCTAGTGATGCCACTTAGCGGGCCTCTAGTGACATCCTCGGTGTCAAGAGGCCTTTCTCTTTCGTTATTTGTTTTTGGTTGTTGTTCGTGGAATCTGACATTTCTTGACTCGTTATCGGAGTCATCTTCCGCCATAGTATTTCGCCGTCTAAATCTGCTACTATATTTAGATCTTGCAGAACGAGTTCCTTCATGATCGTAGTCGTCCCCACCATATTCACCCCCACGGCCATAGCCCGAGCCATACTTATCGCTCTTTTGCTGTCGTTCTCCGAATTTCCGTCCACTTAGTACTTGTTCGTTATCTTGCTCTCCGTAATTTCTCTCTCCATAGCCTTGATCTTGGTTACGGAACGCTAGTCTATGGTCACTTTTAGATCTCATAAGACCAGGTCCTGGAGGTTGTAACAATCCGGTACTAGTTCCTTGAGAAAACGGATTATTAGTGTTTGAAATATTAAGGTCGCCGAAGCCCGCAACATGCAAAACCAACTGATTTGGATCATGAGCCAAAACCAATCGAATTCTTCTGGAATAGTCAGTATTTTCGTACTCAAAATTACGAATAAATTCTATAGTTTTAAGAAATATTTCCTTAGTATCCATTAACTCGCAATCGTCCCAAATGTCGACGTTTTCGTTCATATGTTTATCGGCTAAATCGCAATTGCTTACTATGTTAGCTATTTCTTGTTCCAAATTTTCTTTCAAGCTTGTGAGTGTTCGCAATTCGGTGCCTAAATATCGGTCAATTTCCCCTCGTAAATATTCCGTACGATCTTTGAGGGCTTTGTTGAGTCTCCTATAAATCTCTTCAATTTCTTCACTCACTGAAAGACAGTTGGTTTGGATGTTTTGGGTGTTCTTTTCTACCAGGGAAAGACTGTCTTGCAGTCTATGGATACCTCTTCGTACTTGATTGTTTATTCTCGATATTTCTCTTTTCAGAATTTCCATATGCGCGCCCTTACATTCTTCGCAAATTTTTTTGTCACAATGATAGCAAAAACTACAATAGGCCTTTTCGGAGCAAACGTTACACCTTTCCATAACTTGACCGCTGGTAGGATCAGGGAGTTCGCCAGTAATTTCAATGTGCAATTCCAAAAATCGCTGTAGCGTCACGTTGTTAGGAAATCCCTGGACTCCTTGATAAGGTATCCTGTGTTCGGCGCGACATTCTGGACATTTTACCTGCAAAAAATATTGACAAATTAAATAGCGTGATACAACATTTCTTTTAAATGCATCAGTGCGTTATAGACTCTACGTGAAGAAAACTGTATGGAAAATCATGTTTTCATTTGAAGAGTTTTAGAAATATTGGCATGTTTGACGATATATTTTTATTTATGTAGCGATTACAGTAGGTAAATAAAAAAAAAGGTCTCTGTTCTGAAACAATAAGAAAATTCAGAAAGGGTGTCGACGGGTGAAAGCTCGAAATATATAATTTAAAATTTATTTGTATGTATGAACAGGTTGGCGCTTTTGCTATGTCGGGCTATATTATATTGGAAGCCAGGAAAAATAAAAATCTAGTAACACACGGTCTCTGCCTCTTTTTTTCAAGGAACTTCAATGGCGAAAATAAACTACCTACGGCTAGTTTGATGCATTTAGGTAATGCAGCTCGATTTTTATATTTCCTGGTTTAATGTTGAAATAGCTTTTCCAGATTTCAACAACAATTGTTAACGCCATTCCTAATATTATTGATTTCTCAGATTTGAAAGTTGAGCCATTTTTTACTCAAAGCAAAAATCCGAAGAAATACCTATCATTTTTAATTTAATTTAGAAAATATCTCGTGCCCTGACAGAATATCGGTCATATAATAATTGGATCTTTGGCGCCATTTGAATGATGAAGAGCGACAACTCATCGCACACTTTATCTGAGCTTCTACATTTTTGTCTCGATGGGAATATTAGGCCAAGCAATGAAGGAAGTTTACCTCAACATAATTAGAAGTTTATATTTTTTGGGGGGATCGGTCCATTTTCATGTGCTAAATAACATATTTAGTTTACGACCTTGTACTTCCATAGGGTTTTTAGTTAGGGGTGTTTTTCAGGGGTAATTTGCGGTTTATGGAGAACGCTGCTCAAAGGGATGATCCCATAGCAAAAAGTTTCAAATTATTGTTGTAGCTGAAGTTTTTTGCTATAAAAAGACTCCGGGACAGCACCCCTTTCTTTATCTTCTATAGTTTTTTTTCCTGCAGCGTCTTGAATACTAGCATGTTTTTGTTCAAGGTCACTGAATCAGCGTTTCGCCTGTTTGCGAGCATTTGGTGCAGCAGCGGCCGAATGCATAATCCGGTTTTATTTATTCAAATACCACATTATTGCTAATGAAATGCACTCTTTGATGCTTTTTTGTTTGAATTTTTGGTTTGAGAATTAAGCGAGCACGGATTCGCCTAAGTGCTAGAAAGTTGCAAATTGCATCGAAAACTACCCCTTTCTTGCATTCACTGTAATTTCCAAACGGGGCAAATATTTGGTGACAGTTTTCGACAATCGGCAGCCCATTTATTCCTCTCATAATGCCCCAGCGGAATTTTTTTTTCCGTTAATTACTCAATGAATTATTCGCCTGAACACGTCGCGCGGAATTTTTCAAAAAGTAAAAAAAAATTGAAATTGTCTCACAGCGCTGAAATTTGGTACGATGGCTTCATTTACTGTTCTCATGAATATAGCTTAGCCAGCAGTCATGTGAAGTAATTAAATTTGCAGTATATGTATAATGGAATTTATCTCTGAACGAAAAATATGAGGAGAAAAAAAAGCAAGGTCTAAGGTCAAGTCAAACATGACTACTGAAATCTCCAAGGAGAACAATTTCCTTCGACAAGAGGTACAGCGTATCAAGGATTACCATAACATCCTGGATCAAAACAAAATAAAATCCAATATTTGCGTTTATCGGTTTATTGGAAAAGGAGGAAGATAGGGCTACTACTGTTATGAAATTAAAAAAAGGTTTTTGCCTATATCGACGTCAACGTGCCAGAGGCCGTCTTCAGCAGCATTAAATGCATGCCTACGAAGGGCAACGGTACAAAGGTTGTACTTAATGTGGAAAACTCAGCAACTAAGCAGATGATCATGGATGCACGCGCGAAGAAGAGTCGCATAACAAGTAGAACTGTGGATCTAGGGGAGTAAACTGGGTATATCTTTTTCGACGAGGAACTAACTCAACAAACTTACCAGCTATTCAAAAGGGCAAAGTTACAACTCAAAAATCATGGCTTTAAATATGTATGGCACAGGAATGGAAAGATTTTGGTTCGGAAAAACAATAATAATGATTTGATTGTTATTAACCTTCGTCTTCCCACGTCATAAAAAATTACGTAGATTCCCACGTGGGGTACATTCGTATCCCATGATAAAAATGATACTTCTGATAATTAAACATGATTTTATTTATACTAAACAGTTATAATAGATAAAATCAACCTATAGAGTACAGTTAGCAAAAAAAAGGAGTTAGGAAATGGTATTTTCGACCAATGCAGTGCCATCTTTCGATTTTTAAATCATTTTTCCGCCTTCTACTTCCCGTTGATTGGCTTTATTAACGTGATTTCTAAATTTTGCAGGTTGGAAATCTATTTCCAACCTGCAAATTTCCTGCAAGGTGACTATTTGATAGAGTAGCTACAGATTTCTACGTGGGGTACGTCATTGGGTACATGTGCCCAAGGCTATGCAAAAATTATTATTTCTAAAAAATAAATAAATAGAAAATTTTTGATGATCACTAATTATGTGCAAAGCCCTTACTGACACAAAATAAAATTAGTTACAAAAAATATCCACTTTTCGGGAAAATATTCTAGAAAAATTGTTTTCTGGGGTACATTTGTACCCCACCCGGGAAGACGAAGGTTAAAAATCTTAGAGGACCTACTTAGTTAATCTGAATAATATGATTTATTTATAGATATAGGTACTGTACTATTGTTCTTTCTGTGATACTATAAATATGTCTTTTCTGGTTTCTCACCTTAATGTTAGATCCGTGGTTTCTCATTTTGATAAATTTAAAACCACTGCTATGGATAGGAATTTTGATGTTATTGGCGTAGCAGAAAGCTGGCTTTCTCCAAATATATCGGATGATTGTGTAAAATTGGACGATTATATGTTGCAAAGAAGTGATAGGTTGTATGGACTCGGAGGAGGTGTAGCTCTTTATGTTAGAAAGGATCTTGGGTATGAAGTCCTATTATCTGAGAGCTGCGACTTTCTTGAGTGCATTTGGGTTAAATATACAGGGTGTCCCACGAAGTTTTTCCCAAATGATAACTTCGGAACGCATCATCGTATGTTCCACTGTATAATTTTTTATCATTTTCTTTGCAATGCCTTAACAAATATGGCATTGCTGATTTTGTAACTTATTTTCTAATGAAAAATGCCATAAAATACCATGAGTTACATTTAAGATTCAAAATTTGACGTCACTTGACCTAAATTGAAGCGAAAGTGGTGAAATTGGATGACAATGGTAGAAGCGGCACAAAAAGTTACCCACATCCTCAAAATTTCAATCATATTGGATGACGCGTTTCGTAGTTATTACCTGGGAAAAACGTCGTGGGACACCCGTATCTGTGAAAAAGGAAATTTTTGTCATTGGAACTATCCATAGACCTCCCAAGTCCAACGTGAATCCCTTTTTGGACAGATTGGAAGACATCATTTTGAATCTTTAATCTTTGTTTGCGGGTAATAATATATTAGGTCTGGGAAATTACAACATAGACATTTTATAGAATGACAATGTTGCAGCTGAGCAGTTAATCGTGACAATGGAGAGATTTGAATCACAGCAAATTATTACTGAACCAACAAGAGTAACAAAATCAAGTCTTTCATTTATCGATTTGATACTTACAAATTATGATCGAATTGTGAACCAGGGAGTTATATACTCTAATGTTTCTGACCACTTTTTGGTCTACTGCGAAGCACAAATGTCACACCGAACTAAACAAAATAATAATACAATAATATGTAGAAATCTAAAAGATATAAACTTTAATTTATTTCATAGGGATCTTTCAACAATATTTATGACATACCGAGAATCGAGGAAGCAATTAGTTTTTTAAGCAATGCCTTAATAAATATTTTTAACATTCATGCTCCTCTTAAGACTCTTAATTCACGCAAAAAACCATTTCAACCATGGATAACAGATATCATTAAACTAATGCAAACACTAAGAGACAGAGCCTTCCGAGATTTTAAACGTAATAAATTACCTGGGAAATGGGAATATTAGAAATCATTGAGAAATTGAGAAATTTAACATCTTTAATAACAATGGAACGTGATGCATATTATAGGCATAAATTCACAAACTGCAGTATTGAAGAAAAATAGCAGGAACTTAATAAATTAAGTCCTTCGAAAATTAAAGATATTCCCGAGTCGTTTAGGGATGTTGATAGGCTGAACGATTTTTTCGTTAACTTAACTAATTCAAACATCCCGTCAATCAAGAACTTTTATGTTTTTATTTAGACAGCAAAAAAAAATGGTGTAAATTCTCTACTAAAGTTCGAATGTGTGGAAAGCTCCGAGGTAAATCAAATTATTTATAAAATGCCTAAGCAGTAAGGCTTTTGGCTCAGACGGTCTTAATATTACATTAATAATTGCACTTTGTTGTCCTCATATCTGTGAATGTATTACTCATATAATGAACGAATGTCTAATAAATGACTACTTTCCTGAATGTTGGAAAGAAGCCATTATTACTCCCCTTCCTAAAATAATTAACATGAGTACATACAGCCACTTTAGATCAATAAGTGTCTTACCGACCATGTCAAAGATTTTGGTGGGAATTCTATATACTCAAATGCGTGAGCATATTAATAAATTTTCGATATTGCCTCAAAAAAAATCTGGATTTGGAAGTGGGTATAGTTGCACCAAAGGTTGTACCACCGCAATGGCAGATGAGATCGACGATATTTTCCGTGCACGAGACAATAATGAAGTCACTGGTTTGGTTTTATTAGATTTTACAAAGGCCTTTGATTTTCTTATTCATGAGATACTGGCAGCTTTGTTGCACTATATCGGATTCACCAATAACGCCATAATGTTGATAAAATCTTTTTTAAATAATAGGACTCAACGGGTTAAGATAGATAATTGTTT